AGCATGTGGCAGATATCACGAGCTGGAAAAAAAACTTAGAGGGGGTCGGCGTGGCGTGGGCAGAGAGGCGTTGGTGGCCTGGCGGGTTGGGCATCAAAGATGATGCAGGTTGCGCATTCGCCCATTTCTCGGTCCTTTTTTCCTTTATACAGTGCGAGGATTCATCTTCCCCATACACACACCCCCTCCCACACGCCGGGTCTGTGAAGAAGATCTGCGAGCGCATGCCGTGTCATGCTCTGCTGTGACCCGACAAGGCAGGAGATGGGAGAGGCACACACACACATACACACATACACACATAGTGTCAACGCGGCCTTGTTATTGGTTCGTCCACGTTTTGAAGGGGTCAAAAAGCCCTTGATCGGGAAGAAAATGCTGCAGGTGCGGCAGAGTTGTACGGTTTCCGATTATGCAAAGAATTTATCTGCATGACTTTTTGCGCTCCTCTTGTGTACAGTCTCACGAGGGGGGTCAAGCTATCTTTTCATCTATCCCATACAAGCAATCGTAGCCAGATAGGGATCCTCTTCCAAAAGTCTTGGTCTGCTAAGCGCAATGTCTGCGATATAGGACAGGGTAGAGGAATCCTCCAAATCATGGACAATCGTCTAGTTTCCCAACCTGTCTTTTATACTCCAAGTGGCCCTCTCAGTCATATTACCCGTCAAACTTGTGTGGGCGCATATCCATACGTGCCCAGTGACGCTCACACTTGGCCTTCAATTGATTTAATCTTGCTTTTGTTTTGAGCCATCGAGATTGATAGACCAGACAGTCTGGGAGAGGAGTCGGGAATCAAGGCTTGGCAAGCAGTGAGCTGGGATAGGATTTGCCATGTCAACGTTTCCGCTATATTGCTCCATTGTACAAGTAGAAAACTCATTTTCCCAGCGTATCGGATTCTTCCTTTTTAATTGCGAATTATTACGCGCATCAAGATCCGACATCTATCGGATGCTTGGGCCTCTATGTATGCCAAGAAACATTCCGGAAATCGTGGTGTGCAAACCATCACATTAAAAGACAACGAAAGAAGCCTTAAAAAAAAAAAACCATGCAAAGCCCAAACCTCATCATCATAATTCATGCACCTAACCATTTACAAAATGACTAGTGCGACTTGCAACCTGGATAGTCACCCGGATCGATGGAGAGGAGCCCCAGGGTCAAAAGTCCATAGAAAGCACACTAGAAGCCCACCACTTGCGCAAGGAAATACCGTTTGGGGTATTCATGCCACATGTCGTGCAGATGTGAACGAGTCAGGCCCCTTTCCCCCTCCCCCCTTGGTGCTGCCCAATTGTACACCCAGCATCACGTCCCGAATGTCAAAGCCCTTTCCCCGCCGCACGGTCCCTAGTCATCGACAATGGGACAATGGGGGGAGGGGGATATACCACAGCCTGGCCGTTCTTGGCGGTCCGTCTGTTGTGTGGATGCTTCCTTCACCTATGGACCCTTCCTTGTTCTGCTTCCGCGAAGTGGGACAAGCTTATTTGCTCGCATGGGCATTCTAGCAATGGGTTCAAGTGCGTTGAACCTGCCATGTCATGGCCTTGCAAAGCCAGATGATACATGGCACAGACGTTTCTCAGAGACAGTATAGATAGACAAGTGAAGACACTAGGCGAAGACACTAGGCAATGTTTTAATGCAAGAACATGTCTTGTTTTCATATTTGTATACAGAAAAAGAGTAAGCCAACAACTTCCAGCTTGTTGCTCCATCCGCTGCCGGCAGCCTCAATGGCGCCGCATGGTATATGAATTCAGAAAACGAGTGGAATGGTATAAAACAAAAAAACATGTAAATGTTTCCCACAAAATGCCGCCCAAGACGTTTCCGCCAAGAATTGTGCATGAGAATCATCAAAAAATAAAAAAAAAACTCCCAGAGACCAAATATCATGAAAGAAATCTGCTTCATCCCCCTTTCCAAGTGTCCCGTCCAAAAGGGAAAAAAAAAAACCCTGTTGCCAGCAAAAGATTGCTGGTTCTATTTCTGCCCATGAACTTGTTCTTTGTCTTGTGGCTCAAGACCCATTTCGCACCGCCTCGCGGCGTCCTCTATAAGAAAGTTGGAAAACCAATCCAGCAGGTATAAAAAAGGTATAAGAAAAAGGTAAAAAAATGGAAAGAAAAAGAAAAGTGAAGAGGATATGTAAAGAAGAAAGCTCACTATATGCATCTACAAAGGCCAGCTTTGCAAAAGAAGAAGCAAGCCTTTGCAGGTAAAAAGATGAAAGGGAAAAAAAAAAATTAGATGAGCAGATAGTCCCATCCATTCATCTGCAAAACGTCTCTCCAGTGAACATACGGAGGCGCGACATCCGAGCCAGGCGTGCTCGCATGCAAGAGCTGATCGTTTTGCAGCCACAGCTCACGCATGACAACCACCATGCGGCCAAAGGAGCCGCACTTGGCCTGCTCGCCCAGCGCCGCAATGCGCTGCTCAAACAGCGCGCGAAAGGGACTGTCGGGCGCGCTAATGGAGCCGCACATGAGGTAGACCCAGACCAGGCTGCGGTCAAAGCCCTGGGGCCCCGCGGGAATACATTGCAGCACGGCGGTGAGCTTGTCGACGAGCGACATGGGCGAGGGCTGAAAGGGGTTGAAGCCGGGCACGAGGCTGCAGAGGTAGATGCGGGCGGCGATGCGAAAGGCAGACGTCATGTTCTTGGAGAGTTGCTTGGGGGAGAGGGTGCCGTTGGCGTTGAAGGGTGGGCGCGGCTGGTTATTGTTGTTGTTGGTGTTGTTGGCGTCGCCGCCGGGGGGTACCTCGGTCAGCGACATTTGCTCGCCGAGGGACGAGACGTGCTGGCAGAGCACAAAGTCGTCCATGCCGCCCTTTTTGAGCGCTTCAAGACAGGCAATCTCGGAAATGAGGTACATGACGCGGTCCTCGCAGCCCATGAGCTCGCGGAGGCCCAGGTGCGGATTGTCTGACAGGTGCTTCTCGCGGTACGTGTGCGCAAATTGCGGCGACTGGCCAAGCATGGTGCCGCCGAGAATGTCTATCCAGGCCGTCAACGTCATGTTAAAGGGCGTCTGCACCAGCGGTTGCTGCTGCTGCTGCATGGCCATTGACAACGACGGGTCCAAGACGAGGCGCGGCAGGTCGAGCTTTTGCACCAGGCTGATGGCGGCCTGGAAATGCTGGTGCCAGGCAATGTCCAGCAGGCCGTCGTCGGGCCGGCCAACGACGCACTGGAAAAAGATGAGGCCCAGCGTCGCCTCGAGGATCTGCTGGTGGCTCTCGTCGCGCTTGAGCGCCTCGCACAGCGACCAAATAGTCGCGTAGCGGTGCCTCATAATGTCGCCGTCGGGGTCAACCTCCTCGGTCGGCGCCTGGCCGACGGCGAGGCTGGCCGTTTTCAGGTGCTGCGCGGCGGTGCTCAGACAGCAGTGTAGGTAGATGCTGTTGGTCTGCAGCGCCGGCAGGATGAGGTCGGAGCCGACGGAGCCGTGCTGATTCGACTCGAGAATGGGGAAAATCGTTGGCATGACAAACTTGATAAAGTGCTCGAGCAGACGCTGGTCCCTCTCGTCGAGCTCGACCTGGAGCATGCGCGACTCTTGGGGCGGGCCATGGGCAAAGTCGAAAAAGTTGACATTGAGCGCCTCCTCAGACAGCGACTCCTTGCGCTCCTCAGCGACGTGGTGTCCCGTCCAGCAATTGGGAAACGACCCAGCGGCCAGGACGGTGCCGGGCGGCGGCGGAGTGTGCATGGTGCTAAAGGTAGAGACGTGGGATTCTCTGACAGTGGGCACATCATTGATATACATTTGCCTCTCCGTCTTGACGTCAATCTCGTAGGGCGAGAAGCCGCCTCCTGCTGCTGCTGCGCCGTATATGAAGTCGGGGTGTATTTGCGAGTTGTAGGCGACGAAATCAGCGCCGCTGGGCGGGCTGTTAAAGTTGTTGTTGTAGTTGTAGTTGCTGCCGGATGCGCGCGAGTCAATCGAGGCCGAGCGATTGCGATGGTCGTAAAAGTCAGAGGAGCCCGAGGCAGACGTGTGCATGGAATGGCTGAGGCTGGGAGGCGGCGGGCTGACGGACGAGTGAATCTCATGCGTGGCCGACTTTTCGGCGAGCTTCTTGCGCTTGATGATGATTTTGATATCTTCCTTGTTTCTTCGGCGCGCCTCGTTGTTGCTCCACCAGACTGGTCTCTTATACTCGCACTCGAGGCCGAGATGTTGGCAGGCAGAGCAAAAGGGCGTGAGCTCGTCGCACTTTTTTCGTCTTAATCGGCAAGTGTAGCATCCTATTCGATTGGGGAAAAAAATTGAAAATGGCAGTTAGTAAAGCCGAACGCGATGCCCGTATAAGTCGGAGGGGGGTGGGATGCGCCCAACGTACCTGATCTTGAACGGCGATGCATCTGTGACTTTGTCTTGGAGACGCCATCTGTGGCGGAAGCTTTCATTGTCGTCTTGGACTTGCCCATCTTTGCTGAAGCCATCTTGGCTGAAGTAACAGGAGCATTGGCAGGTACTCTGCGCATGCTGGGGGGCAGGGTAGACATTTGTATGGCCGGGACCCGGGGTGGGATATTCCAAGCTTTTGCTCAGTAAAGTGTGCAACTTTTTGCAAAGTACAGGGCCTTGCACAAGGGCCCTAGCTGACCTGAGAAAGCTAGGTAACTGAAAGACCTGATTTGGCCCGAGACGGGAAGCACAAGAAGGGGAGAGAGTGTGAGTTGGAGGCGGGGGAGGGCGTGTGCGTCCAATTGCTTTGTGGAGAGAGAAAGAGAGAAAGAGAGGGGGGGGGTGGCCGTAGGGCAGCAGAGAGAGAGGTGCAGGGGGTGTGCACTGGTGGCACGGTACAGGCACTGTGTACTGGCGTACGAGAAAACAAAGAGCAAGTCCGAACAAGTATCCGTACGAGACTGACTGTAGGACCAAAGGCGCGGGCTATTTCTTTCTGTGTGAGAGAGGGGGGGAAGAGAGAGAGCGAGAGAGAGGTGGGACACGGCCGGGATGGCCTGGTCTGCTGATGAGTGTCGGTGTCTTTCTTGTGCGAGGCGGGAGATTACTCGAATTCTGGAGAAGCTCGCTGCGATGACGGATTGGCTGGCGTGCAAATGTCGACGGCTGTTGGAGAGGCGTTTGACTGGCTTGCAATGCTCAAAGATGCAGTCATGTGGTTGTTCTTTGTTTGATTAGAACAAGAATGTCGACGAGTAATATCTTTTCGTTGTCGTGGAACCGGAAATGAAAAAAAAAAAAAAGAAGAATAAAAAGAAGGTATAAAAAAAAGGGATTGTTGTGAGCAAGGCCAGCTTGCTGTGTTGTGGTTGATGGTATCAAGGATAGGGAATCGTCGAAAGAGGATTAAACAAAAAGGGGGTTAAATCGAACAAGCAGTAAACAGAACGAAACAGACTTTTTTTCTTGGACAAAAAGACACTTGGAAAAAACTTCTTCTTCACCTGGACACGCCAAAAACAAAAGAGGGTTAAATTCAAGACGTGGGCGGCAAGGCCTTTCGTCTTATACCACGGGTCGCCATGCATCGCGGCCAGCCGCTCGAGTTGCTTCGTCTTGCCCATTCTATGGTGTCATGAATTCTAGCTGTCAGAAGCTTGCAGTGTGTTTCTATTTTTGAACATTGGCCCTCTTTTTTTTTCCCTCCTTCGAAGCAGTCCTTTTTCTGCTGATAGCTCATGCAGGCAAAGCCCCAGCCGTGCAACCCTCTTCAACCACACACACCATTTTTCCTGCAGAAAAAGGTTTGTCTGAGTTGTTGTGCGCTTAGAGCTTCCAATGATATTTCTCGGAACCAGCATCGAGACCCGCTCCTCCCCCCCCAAAAAAAAAAGCTCCCAAAAAAGACATGGTGCACAACTTGACCAGCAGGGGTCTCTGCGTAGACCAGTTGACCCAGCAAATGGAAGAGCGAGAGCGGCACAGGCAGGCTGGGGCGGGGGCGGGGGAGAAAGGGCATGGCGCTGGCCTTGCTTGATCATGCATGAATTATTAGCCCGAATGTGCAAAGAGCCTCGATGTTGTTGCGTTCGTTGTGCTCGACATGGGTCCATCTCTTACCTCGCCAACCCAACGCCTCTCTTTCTTTCTTTCGCTCTTCTCGTCTGTCCAGCTCGCCGGCTGATCCAAATAGGCAACGCTTGCCCCTCTGCTCATCAATCTTTGTTTTCCACTGGGCCAATGGCTGCCAAGAATGGCGAAAGAGCCATTCGTCACCTGTATTCGTACGGTGACTGACTGAGCCTGCCTTGTTTTGTGAAAATGGCACGCTTTCCCAACTTCAGCTTCAATGCTGCCGTACACGGTCATGGCCCGGGCTCAAGACAGATAGTACTCGAAAGGTGACACATTTTTTCCCCAATGGCCCCATAGGAAGCATAGGATGCATAGCTCTAGGACATTGGCATTGCAGCTCCAATAAGCTGCATCCATGTGGCACTTTGTCGACTCTCTAGTCTTTGCTCTACAGTCTCTACACCTCTACACGCAGGTCTGACCCGCTTCCATCCCACATGCAGCTATTCGTACACCGGCAACGCAGCTTTGCATGTCCGCCCGTTGACCGCATCGCTGCGCCGTGCTGGCAAGAGACGTTTTACATTCTGTCATTTTTTTTCTCTCACTTTTTTTTCTCTTCTTCTTTTTTTTTTTCTTGTCTTGTTGTCTGATTCCGATTCGCTTCGATGCGACGAAACATGTTCCCCGCACCCCATCTCACTTTTGTACGGATACATTTTACCGCAGCAGAATTTTGCTGCCCCTACCACTCACTGAAGCAAATGCACAGTGTAAAAGACGACGGCGCACATGTGCACCTCTTTAACCAGTCACAGTAACACGCCTTGTGCTATTTTCAAAAGCCGTATGGCTGCGGGTGACACGGACAGGAAGAGCGGTAAGCACAAGGGAAAAAAAGGGACTGGCCGGGCTTCATCACAAAAAGGGCTGTTGCTCATCAAAGTGGGCTATTAGCACCGAGGCGTGACCAGCTTCATCAATCACACACAACAACGGGCCGTTTCGGGAGGCGCAGAAAGCCTCCC